CTGGCATGGAGTCACAGAAAATAACTATAAAAGAATTCGTAATTATAATATTTTCGGTTAATATAAAATTTGATTTTTTTTAGCTTCAAAGACTATTGACTAAAAATAGAAAATTGCAAATGCTTTTTTCTATATTCTAGATGTAATTAATAAAATTATGCAATTTTTCTATTAGAGACTGTTAGAATGCTTTACTTACAATAATTAAACTGTTTTTGTTAATAAAAAAGTGTTAACTAAAAAAAAAATAAAAAAATAAAATAAAATTATCATGCAAATATATAAATTGTATTTTTAACTAAAAAATTGTATTGTTAACTAAAAAAAATTTTTTAAAATAAAATTACCATGCAAATATACAAATTGTATTTTTAAATATTACATCTTCAAACAATTAATTTTTTCTGCAATAAACAATTATCAGGGTGGCCACATGTCAGTAAAGTCAGTAAAGTCAGGGAAATGTCAGGGAAAAAAATTTTTTGTCAGTAAAGTCAGGGAAATGTTAGGAAAAATTTTTTTGTCAGGGCAATTAAAGAAGAAGGGAAATGTCAGTAAAAAAAATTTTTTGTCAGTAAAGTCAGGGAAATGTCAGGAAAATTTTTTTTGTCAGGGCAATTAAAGAAATTAAGACGGTCATGCAATACATTTTTGCTCTAAACAAAAAAATTTTTGTCAGGGAAATTCGTTGTTATGTCAGTAAAATGTCAGGGAAATTTTGTCAATCTTGCGGCCACCCTGATTGTCTTCTTATAACATTTTAATGTTAATTCGAAACTAATAGAAATGTTTAATGTTTTGCGCTTATAATTTAAAAAAAAAAATATGAAGTTTAAAAAGATGAAAATGAAATACATTTCAAGAATTATTTTTATCAACAACTGTTTAAAATTATGTACTATTTGAAAATCAACTCAAAATAGAAATAATCATTTAAAAAATTCATGAAGTTTTTTTTATTTCGTATTTTACTTACGAAGACAATCATTTACGGAAAGGTAAAATAATTTGTTTTCAAAATAATTATATGCTTTTTTCATAATATATGGTTTTTGTGAATTCATTTTGTTAATGATTTTTATTTATCTTTGGTGATTGATTCGTCAAGATTTAAATTTACATGAAAGGTAATTGTAAAAATTATGAATACTAAAAAGTTTTGCTTTCTTTCAAGTAAAAACTAGTTTATTATTCGAGAATCTTTGCTTTCATAAAAAAAGACAACTTGTTTTTTTCACAAGATTCACGCTTTTACTATTTTTTTTCGATATGAAATGTTGCATTAATTTACAATTTAAATTTATACTTTAACTGGAATTAATCTGATTTTAATTTTCTATATGGTTTTTTTATATTTTGAGTGTTAAAAATATAATATTTCTAAGACAAAAATTTGAAACCGATTGTTTAAGAAAGTGTGGGAACAAGTGGAAAATATTATTCATTTAGGTGCATAATATCTTCTTTTTTATTAACAGTATGGTTATTGAAACCTTTGAAATATTATTATACGAAAAGCAAATTTAAGGAAATCGTTACACCATCTTCGAAACATGATGTTAATTTTTTATTATAATATTTAATTAAAAATCAGAATTTATCGACAGGAAAAAATAAATAATTATTTTTAAATAATTTTTCTAATTAAATTTTCGAAACCAAAAACCAGATATCTAAAAAACAGTCTTTTAAGGGTGCGGTCGAAAGCAGTGAAAAACCAATTACAGGAAAATATACTTTAACAAAAATACACAGTCTTTTCAATATTTAAATTTGAAATAAAAATAATATTTTTACAAAAATTGATAAGAATAATTGAAGATTAAAATGATAAATAATGATTATATTCCACAAAAATAAATATTCAAATATTATTCATAATAAATAAATATTTATTGTTTATAAAATACATAGTTGATAAATAAATACCAACAGAAATTACAGGGTGGCCGCTGAACCGGGAAACCGGGAAAACCGGGAAATGACAGTGAATTTTTTTGGACAGGGAAAAACCGGGAAATGACAGTGAATTTTGATCTTGACCGGGATTTTGGAATTTTTTTTTTAAAAACACACATTACTTTGTGAGAAAAAATAGAAATATTTATTTTAAGACTTAGGTATTAACTATATTTCATTAAAAAAGATTGAATGATCTTCTATAAAATCTATTTATATTTTGTCAGAGAATTTTATAAAAAGTACTATAAAAATATTCAATTTCTAGAATTTATAAGAAAATTATGAATTTTGTTGTCCAACATAACAGACTTAGAAAAAGAAAATATTAAATTTAATTTTAAATTCTTTCTATTTCTAACAATAATTAAACAAAATATAATTTTAATTAAATTTGTCAAAAAAATTTCAAAGAGAAAAAATTTCACATCCTATAAAATAATGAAAAATAAATCAATTTAAAAATTTTTTTGCAATTATTATTATAACAAAACAAATAAGAATTATTAAAAATTTGAACTAATTAGAACAAAAGTGATACGAAATTTATAAAAATGAATTTTTGAATAATAAATAAAGTAAATAAAAATAAATAAAATTTATTTTCTTAGAAAATAAATTTTAAAAAACCGTATTTTTCATTAATATCAATTAGTTTTTTTTACAATTATTCATAAGCAAATTTTTCGATTTTTTAGAATGTTAAATTAATATTACTAATATTATTATAGATTGAATTTTAAAAAATTTCAAATTGAAGTTTTAGAAAAGTTGAATTTTAAAAGATTTTAATTAAAAATTCTGAATAATTTAGTATTTAAAAATATTTTTATTCACATTTTTTCAAATTAGTTATGTTTTTAAATATGTAATATTTAATTGAAAAATTTTCAAATTATTCAAAATTTCATGAAATTGTCTTGTAAACAAGTGGATTTTAGAAATATTTTAGTTATTTCTAGAATATAATTGAATTGAAATTTTGAAAATAATTTTTAATAAGTTGCAGTAGCAATTCTTAAAAATTATTCAAATTTAAAGGATTTGAAATTTGAATTTTTTTTTTAAATTTGAGTACCTACTATATGAAAAAATAATGGATAATAATTAAATATTTATTTCAAAAAATCTATTTAAGTTCAAAATTATTTTTAGAGTAAACTAAAATATTTTTAGGGTTTGGGAAAAAGTCAAAGTTTTGTCTAAAAATCAGGAAATTCTTTCAATCTTTCATTGAATAATTTATTTTCAGAGTTATTATTTATGACCGGGAAAAATAATTTATGACCGGGAATGGACCGGGAAATGACCGTGAATTTTTTTTTACAAAAAAAGTGGCCACCCTGAATTAAATAAAAGCTATAAATAAATTATAAGTCACAAATTATTAATAACAATGTATAAAAAATTAATTAATCACAAAATGGAAATAAATAATTATTAATTTAACTAAATTTAATTCGAAAGTGTCCCGATCAATTAGACAAAAGTCCAGGCTCTAAAAATCAAATCATTTTCAAAAAAATATTGTTTATATTACTTTATTCAGGACGTAATATATAATTGAAAATTTTGAAAATAATTGAATTCTCAAAAATTTTAATAAAAAAATCTTCAAGTGTAAATTCAAAAAACAAAATTTATGAAAATTAGCCTCTAAAAACTGTATTAAAATGTTTTTGACAAAATGCAATATTTTTAATTAAAACGAGCAACAAGGCTAATTTCTTGCTAACTTTTTAAAATAAAATTAGCAATTTTAAAAATTTTATAATTTAAATTTTTGTTGAAAACACGAAAAAAATTACAAATAATTGCAGAAATTCAATTATTTTAAAAAAAAATTCTTATAAAATTCAACTATGTTCAAAATTTGAAAAAAATCCTAATTATCTTTATAAATAACAAAATTCTTCTCCAAAGTTCAATTATTTTCATAAATGTCAAAAAAAATCCTTGTTCTAATATTAATTATTTTCAAAAAATTTTCTAATTTCAATGATTTTCAATATCTAAGATTTTCATAAAATTTCCCCAAAAGAATTCAATTATTTAAAAAAATTTTTAATAAAATTGTATGTAAACATGTAATTATTTTCATAAATAATAACAATTTCACAGAAATTCAATTATTTTCCTAAATAATACATTTTTTTAAGGAATTAAATTACTTATTATTTTCATAAAAAATAATTTAAAATTCTAGTAAATAATAATTGAATTAAAGTGATGAAAATAATTTTGATGGAGTTACAGTAACAATATTCTTATAATATAAAATAATGATTTTATCTCTTGGTCATCTTTAATTATTAGAAAACATGAAGAAATCGACCATTCCGAGTCTTCGACTCGGAGCAATCGATATCTTCATGTTTTATAACAATAACTTTATAAGTTGTTTAATTAAAAAAAGGTTGAAATTTGAAATTTTTAATGTCTTAATTCCTGTGGAAAATCCTGTTCCAAAAATAAGATTAAAAACAGGAATTGTGCAAATATTTTTCTTCTTTTTTTTCTTCTTTTTCCAAAACAAAATAATAATTTTGTTAAAAAAATTATGATTCATAAACAAAAATAATGCAAAATAAATAAATTTTCTATTTCTTAATCAAAGTTAAATTAAATTATTAAATCTTATTAAATCTCAGAAGGTTTGAAATTAATTGAGCTTAAAGAAAAAGATCTCAAAAAAAATTAATAAAATAATATAAACATGCTTTTTTTAAACGAATATTTTGAGATATAATTTTAAATTGATTATTTGCGTTCCAAACCACTTGAAGGAAAGAAACAAGTAACAATGTTAAATATCAGATTTTTTAAGCAAAGTTCAGAAGTAAGAATTCGATTAATGTTTTTTGAAGTTATGTTGTTCCTATCATGATTTTTATATGTTACATAATTTCTAATTAAAAGCTCAAGTGTTTCTCCTTCTCTATAACTCTTCATTATAAACAAAATTATTAAACCTGAAGTGCGTTTAATAATTGAAACGATTCTTTAAATATACTAAACATGTTTGATTTTCATATCCTTAGGATCTTTCTGGGAAAGTTCGTTTGAATTTTAAAGATGATGAAAGTTTACGCGTTTTAACAAAAATTTTACTCCGACATGATTTTGGTATTGAAGTAGAAATACCTGAGTCAAAATTAATTCCAGCATTGTCACTTCGTCTTAACTATGTTTTATGGATTGAAGATCTGTTGATACATTCTGGATTAAATGACATGAGATTAGCTCGCGGAATAGATATCGGTAAGTAATTGCCGACTTCATTCAAATACGACTAATAGTGTCAAAACGAGTACCTAACAGGTTAAAAAATTAAAAAGAAATTCTCGTTAAAATAATAGTCTGTCCTTTTTATCACGACCCTTATAGAAACAAAAAATAATTTTCCACAACTAAGAAATATAAATTTATAGGCACAGGTGCTGTTTGTATTTATCCACTACTTTTTGCTAAATTATATGGATGTAAAATGATTGCTTCAGAAATTGATTTAGAGAGTATAAAATCTGCCGAAGAAAATATTAATCGTAATAATATGCAAGAACTTATTAAAGGTAAGGGATTTATATTCCTTAAATTTTGATAAAATTTTTTAATAAAACATATTTTCAACAGTGATTTCTGTACCAAAAGAAACAATTTTATCAAAATTTGTAAACAATGAGGAGAACTATTCCTTTGTAATGTGCAATCCTCCTTTTTTTAAAACTGACCATGATTTAAAGAAAATAAATAAACGACTTCCACCGCGAAATGCATCTTCTGGGAAAGAATCAGAATTAATTGTTGAGGGAGGAGAAATAGCTTTTATTATGAGACTCATTGATGACAGTATGATATTAAAGGAAAAAATACAAATTTACACTTCAATGATTGGAGTTAAAAAAAATTTACTCTTCTTGAGATCTGAATTAAAGAATCGTAATATTGAAAATGTGACGTGGACGGAATTTTGTCAGGGATTTACTAAGAGGTGAGAAAAAAACATTCTTTCAAATACGCACGTTTTAGTAAAATTTAATCGCATCTTGTTAAGATTTTTTAATTTAAATGTTAAATTTAATTTTTAAAACAATATCGCCAAAGTAAAAAATCTGTTACAATTGTTTTATTTTCTTTGATTGATTGTAGAGAAAATAAGTAAAAAGTTTTTAATCATTATTTGTTTCTATAGTTTGAAAAAATGATGTTTTTTTATTTTGCCGTTAAAAAACTTTAACTTCAAATAAATTTTCAAATGTACAGTTGAAAGTCCAAGTGACTAATCTGATATTTTTTCAAAAAGTAAAATGGCGGGTTAAATATGACAAAAATTATGGTTCCAAATGCCGAAAAAGTAAATAAATTTTTTTTAAAATTCTTACATGGGGATTTTTCGGGGTCTTACATTATTAAAAAAATAAGACAATGACAACATAATAGTTTCTTTGTAAAACTGAAAAGACAAATTAGCATGCAAATATATTACTTTTGTTTTATAATTTTGTATGTATATTTTTTTCCTAACAATAAATATTTGTATTTTCTTGTGTACAATATAAAATTTTTATTTTAATTAGAATTAGCATATTATGTTTTAAGTTATTATAGGTAATTATTAGTAATAGTAGTATTTTTAAATTTTTTAATAGAATATTTTGATGTTAAAAAAAAGTTTATTTAAAATAATTGTTTAGTAAAACCTCGTTAACACGAAATTCGCTCTATCACACATTGCAATTTGTCTCTGATAAGAATTACATAGGCTCTTGCTCCTACGTTAATAAAAAATTACGGTTAACAAGAATTGTTATCTGCATCAGTGTGTAACCGTGTCAACGAGGTTTCACTGTACTTCATTTACAAAATATTAAATGTAAAAACAAAATAACGTATTTTTGAAAAACTGAAAAGACAAATTAGCTTGCAAATATATTATTCTTGTTATCAATTGTAAAATATACTTTTTAAACAATAATTTTTTTAAAAATGAAATTAAAAAAAATTAAGAAAAAATACTTTAAAAACCAAAAATAAATAAAACAATTTAGAGAAAAGGAAAAAGAACGAATAAATACAAAGCATTATTAAAAGATTTTTTTGTAAAATTGAAAAGACAAATTAGCGTGTAAAATAATAGCTTGTTTAATTTAATATTTTATAAAATAATTTTGATATTTATCAATTACAGTTTAAAAACTATTAATAGATTAATATAAATATCTTTTTCTCAAAATAATAAAATATTAAATCAATATTATTTTTCTACAGAACCGAAAAAATAGTATCAGCTGCTTCAAAAATTAAGAAAATACTTTTAATATATTTTTATATCACGATTGGAAACAAATAGTAACGAAAATTAATGAACTAAGATATGAAATACTTTTCCTTTGAAATTTTTAAGGAATTTAAATTTCATTGACCACGTATATTATTCTTATTAGCTTGGGATAAGGGATGAAAATAGAGTTTATTTTTAAATTGTTTGTAATACTAAATTAACAACTTTTTTCAGACTATTCAGCCTTTATGAAACTAGTTTTTAATGATTGTTAAAAGGATAATTTTAATTAATAATTTGTTTCTAGATGGGGCATTGCTTGGTCCTTTTTACCAGAGAGCGTTTTAAATTTGTCAACAGCACCAACAATCAGAAAAAATCCTGAGTATATGGAGAAGAAAAAATATGAAAAACCTCCATTTGACATTATTTTCCCCCCTCATGGAAACTTGAAAAATCTTCAAGAAGTAATTGCAAGTTTAAAATCTTGTGTCAGAAAATTAAATGTGAGTAAGACTTTATATCTTTTCTATAAGTTTATATTGAATTTTAGATATTTTACTTAAAGTCCAAACTTGTTACTGTGACACATTATTCTTCAACAATTAGTTAAAAGTATAACTGAAAGTAAATAGGATGAAAGGTCTTTTCGAGTCAAATAAAAAGAAAAAGAAATAAAAAAAATAAAATAAAAAGAAAAGAATGACCTTCTTTTCATCCTATATAACTAGTCCGTTTTTTGAAAAAAGTCTGTAAAGTCCGTAATTTGATTCAAAAAGGATGAAACTTCGTAAATTGTACGATGTAATTTGGATAATTTTAGAAAAATTATAAATGATTGCAGAAATTCAATTATTTTCAAAAGTAATAAAATTCTTCGCATAAGTTCAATTATGTTCCAAAATTTAAAAAAATTCTCATCAACATTTCAATTATCTTTAGAAATAATTAAATTCTTCTCCGAAATTCAATTATTTTCAAAAATTTTCCTCAATTCAATGATTTTCAATATCTACTATTTTCATTAAATTTTCCAAAAGAATTCAATTATTTAAAAAACAATTTAATAAAATTCTACACAAACATTGAATTATTTTCAAAAAAAAATTTCACAGGAATTTCATTATTTACAAATTTTTTTTATAAATTTCTTCACAATCATTCAATTATTTTTATAAATAAAATTTTGACGGGGATTCAATTATTTTCGTAAATAATACAATTCGGTTTAGAAATTCAATTATTTTCTAAAATTTTTAAAAAATTCTCATCGAAATTTCAATTATCTTTATAAATAGAAAAATTTTTCTCCGAAATTCAACTATTTTAATAAATTTCAATAAAATTCTTGTTATAATTTAAATAATTTAAAAAAATTTTCCACAATTCAATGATTTTCAATATCTACTGTTGAGTAAATTTTTCCCAAAGAATTCAATTATTTAAAAAAAAATCCGATAGAATTTTACGCGAACACTTCATTATTTTCTTAAATAATAAAAATTTTACAGAAATTCAATTATTTACAAATTTTATTAAATTTCTTCCCAATAATTCCATTTATTTTCATAAATACATTCAATTTTTCAATACATTATTTATTCTTGTGTTTAAATAATTTAATTCTCGTAAAACCTAATATTAAAAATTGATTTAAAAATGAATTTTAGTTAAAATCACTAAAAAAAATTTAATTTTAGAAACAAATTACAAAATAATTGCAAAATTTCAATTATTTTCAAAAAGCAATAAAATTCACCTCCAAAATTCGATTATTTTTAAAAATTTTAATAATATTCTTGTCAAAATTTTAATTATTTTTACAATCAATAAAATTATTCTCCGTAATTCAATTATTTTCTAAAATTTTAATAAAATTCTTAGCAAAATGTCAATTATTTTCAAACATATTGATAAAATTCTGGGCAAACATTTAATTACTTTTATAAATCATAAAATTCTTTTTGGGAATTCAATTATTTTCATAAATAATAACATTCTTTTTAGGAATTTAATTATTTTCATGAATAATAAAACTCATTGCAGAATTTCAATTATTTTTAATACAATTTTAATCCAAGTTTTTGAAAGAATTCTTCAAAAATTTTATTAAAATTCGTCAAAAGAATTTAATTATTTAAAAGTTTGTTAATAAAAAATTCTTTAAAAGAATTCAAGTTTAAGAATCTTGCAATTATTCAATAAATTTTTCTTTTTGTATTTAAATAATTGTATTTTCGTAGAATTTTCTCATAAAGATTGATTTAAAAATAGATTTAAATTAAACTTTCATTTTATAATTAAATTTCAAATTCATTAGAGCGTAAATTTTTAGAAATAATTGAATTTTGAAAAGGTTTCAGATTAAAATCTTTGAAAATTTGAATTTTTCATATTTTTAACTAACAATTCTGTGAAATTAATTTTTTTTGAGAAACTTTAGTTGCAGGTTCTTTTATTTGAATTTACTTTAAGTTTTAATTTCTAATGTATATTTAATTGAAGAATTTACGAATAATTGAAATTTTATATAATTGAATTGTAAACAAATGAATTTGAAAATTCTTAAAGAACTTTTTCAAAAATTATTCAAAATAATGCTTATAAGGAGAACAGTAGTTAAAAACACGAAAAACAAATTTTTATTTTGGAAAAGTTACAAATTATTGCAGAAATTCAATTATTTTTATAAATAATAAAACTCATTGCAGAAAAATGTAATTATTCTTACAAATTTTATTAAAAATTCATCAAAAAATTCAATTATTTAAAAATTTGTTGATAAAATTCTTTGTGGGACTTGAATTTTAAGAAACATTCAAATTAATCAATAAATTATTTATTTTTTGTATTTTTTTTAAAAAAGTTTAATTGAAGAATTGACGAATAATTGAAATTTTGTAAAATTGAATACTGTTAACAAATGGATTTAAAAATTGTCAAAGAACTTTTTCGAAAATTATTAAAAATAATCGATTTAAAGGATAATTTTAGTTAAAAATTCTTTAAAAAAAGACTTATGTAACGAGGTCGGTGTTTGATGATGTTATTTGTGTGCTAATTAGTTTATTCATTCTTCAGATTCAATTGAAAGAGATTCAGTTCGAGGAAAGGGAAAATCTTTTTTGGGCATGTCAACTGACAACTGATCATGACTCTTGGTGCCAAGCCAGACGAAAACGACGAATGTCTTTGCAATTGGAAAGTGCATCGAAAAAAATACGTAATTCAGTAAATAGTGAATCGCAATCTTTCTCTGCCTCCAATATTGTTACACAAAAGAATGAAAAAACTTTAAGGTTAGAAAGCGATGGACCCTTTTTAGAATTTATATTGCTATTGTATTTAATACAAAGCGATGGTGAAATTAATGAGGACAATTCACAATTTAAAATATCGTTAATTTTTGAAAGTGGAAGTGGAGGCAGAAATGCTCTTGAAAGTTTTCGTCAATTTTTGGTCAATAAATTAAATGTTCGAGAATATTTTCAAAAACAATTTAAAAGTAAAAAGAAGTAGAGAAAAGATATTTTAAAATACTATAAAAACAATTTTTATAACTTTTTAGAAAATTACCAAAAACTGCAATTTTCTGCACTACATGTTCAGTAGTTATGTGTTTCTAAATTTGACTTGTACTTCAGTAGGAACAATTCTCGTTATGTAAAAATAGAACTCTTCAGTATTATGCCAAAAAAGCATTTATTGCTTTATGAACTCGATTGTATTTATTTTGTTAATATTATGTCTAATAATAAATTTAGCATTATTAAAAAATGTTTTTATAACAAACTTTACGTTTTTCTCTCTATCCACAGATGGCAAAAGTTTCTTAATTCATGAAAGAGTTGCTATTAATTTAAAATTCTTGTAAATACCATTTTCTGTAAATTCTTTAACGATAAATTTTTAATTTCACATGATATTAATTGTTCAAAGCAGACTTTTATTATCTTCTATGTTTTTAAAATCAACTCTGCTGAATTTTCTAAAACAATATCTGTCATTTCTATAATTTGTAATTTAATAATTGATGAATAATTAAATTATACAAAAGTCACAATTAAATGGAACTAAATGAGTCTAAATTACAATTAAAAATATTATTTCCAAAGAATAACTATAATATTTTTTATTAATTTGTTAATTTTTTAAGATAATTAAATTTTAAAAAATTGAATAAGTATTCCCTGCATCGTGGTCTATACATCTGTTACGTCCTATGGACTAAACATAATTATTTTAAATTTAATTTATTAAATAAATGAATATTTAATAAATAGAATTATGTGTGTGATTTGAACCTAAGCTCTCGCTTAATAGTTCGGGACACTTTCGAGTTTTATTTTGTTTTGAAATAATTTTTTAGGATTTTTGGATTTTAATTTAAGAGGAATGAAACCAAATCATCGAACACAGAAAAGTAAGATGACAGGGTTCGATAACATAGGTAACAATTTCAGGAGTCAAAAATAGTTTTAAAAGGGTATTAAAATTTATAGTTCTCAGTCATAGAACTTTTCTTTACGGGTTTGGGAATTTGGACAAGATTTGAGAAAGTTAAGAAGAGAAAGATGAATTTAATAAGAATATTTTGAATTTGTACTCACTTTTTATTTATAGTTATACAAAAATTGTCGCTTCTTCCAGAACGTGAAATAATTTGGATTTTGAATAATATCGATTGTTAATATCGATTGATCGATTTAAATGTATCGATATATCGATTTATGATTTCGATATATTTGCGAAATTATTTGAATTTAATTGGATTATTTAACGTTGATAATCAAACTTGACACTTGTATTTTAACACTTATTACTTTTTCAAATAGAGTTGAATGTAGAAGTTAATATTGAGTTTGAGAACTGAGACTGAATTGTGTACGAATATTAAGATTGAACTGAATACTGAGAGTGACATGACATCCTCTTGGGGATGCTGTTTTTAAAGGTTTGTCCCCACTAGAATTTTAGGAAAATATTTTTAGAGAGATGGAAAAAGGGGATGGATAATTTAATTTCTATTAATTATTTATTCTAGGTATTGTTTATATTGTTTATCAATATTAATTATTATTCTTTGTTGTTTTAATAATTATGAGTAATAATTAGTATTTATTAAATTTTAATTCTTAAGAATTTAGTTATTTACTATATTATAACCTTTTTGGTTATTTTATTTAATGAATAATAATTATTTTGTAATTTCCTATTTATTTACAATTTATTATTTTTATTTGGTTACTGTTTTTCTATTATTTTAGTTAAGTTTATTATTTTTGTTGTTTTTCGTTTTTGACCAGAAATTAGGGTTAGAAATTACTTCAGGTGTATTTACTATAGGCTATATATATATATATATATTGCTTAGGGCCCGTGCGCAGGTTCTTTACCTAGGTTTTGAATCTTATGATTTACGGTACTGTGGTACAAAGGGCATTGTATGAGAACTTTAAATACTGGAGAGAAAGTTATTTACAATTTTGGAGATATTGAATTCTATATCTCTCTTAAGATTTATAAACTTCCAGATATTTATTGCACTTATTGTAATAGTTTTAGGAAAACATCAAGCTTTAACAGGATAAAAATTATCTAGTCAATATTTTCTATGCCTTGTAAGTTGTATGATTTTAAAAGGAAATTTCGAGAAAAATAAGATATAATTTTTATCCTTATTAAAATACTTGATGTTTTCTCTTTTAAGATAAAAAAAATTCCTGATAATTTTTAATATTTAAAGTATTTCGTGTTCATATGTAGTGTCTGATTTTCTTTTATTGCTCTCAGCTGTGTTCCCAAAAAGGCTGTTTTTTAGTCATCCGGTCAGAAGTTATATTTCAATTTATGGTTTCCTTTAATATTTGGAAACACTTTTGATTTTTGTTCGAGAAAGCATTTCCTTTTAGCAAGGTTAGAATTGACCGTTAAAAAAAGGAAATGTGAAACTGACCTTTTTACGGTGTCATCTGTGAGCAATAAAATTGTGAGAGAACAAGGTTTTTAAAAAGAGATTACCTAGAATTTGTTTAGTCTGTTTGATGTTACATGGTGAAGTCCTTTTTGGTTAATTTGTACATGTGTTTTTATGTGTGAGAAAAAATAAAAGTTAAAGATATACAGGTTGTAACACCCCCATCGTAAAATGGTTAGTTGAGGATGTAAGACGAAAATAACCATAAATGGTTTTACAAAAGTTGATGATGTCCTTGGTTGAATAGATGTTGATTGATGAATTTTGGTTGAAGAGTTTCCTTGATGTTGATGTGTAGAAAGATGAATTATGATTTTTAAAGACCTATCATACGGCTTATAGTTACTAGAGATTAGGTACATATTAAGATTGTAGATGGAAGAAGTGTTTTTGTGCTATAGCGCTGTGTAATTCTTGATTGGATGGATGCGTATGTGCTTGATTGTTTATGTTGTTTACAGGTGCTGATGGTTGTTCCAACATTTCTTTTCCTTGTTCGATGTCGTCTTGTTGATTTGTCTTATTTTCTTTTGTATGTGCTAAATGGAGTAGAAAATGAGATACTGAACTCCAAAAGGCTCCAAGTAGATGAATTGACCACCCGTACACCGAGTGTAGAGCATATCCTTGTAAAATGACGTCCGCCGTCATTTTAATAAAATGGCATATAGTGAGGAATGCGATGAATCCAGCGCTTATAGTTCCAAAAGTAAGGAATTTTCCCACATCTTGGACCACGTTGATTCGATAAGTTTATCGACTGCATCTCCGCTGAAGTATTTGATTAGACTTCCTTCGTTGTTGATTGTTTGATATCCTTGGACTTCTCTGGCTATGCTGTTTAAAACTCCGGTTTTTTCCATAGGGAACATAATTCTTTCTTTTAAACCATCTATTTCCTGTTGTGTATAGATTCCGTTTTCAGCGAGATGTCCTGGGTTTTGGTAATGGAAATTGTGTTTTGTGTAGGATTGGATAATATTGGGAGCGTTGGTTTGTGTTGGTAATGGAAGAATTTTGATCCATTCTCCATCGATATAATATGAAGCAGGTAAAAGTCTGTTGCATTTAATTTCTGTTCCGGTTTCTTTGATAACGCGGGTTCTTGGTACTAAGAAATGGGTTTTGTTTTGTCTAGTTACTTGTAGTTCGTTGTAGCAGGCGTCTCCATGTTCTAATTTTACTTCAACTGGCACACATTTAATAATATGCACCACCTCTCCAGCAGCTACGGCCATATATCCAGGTCCTTGCATTAAATCATAGGCGAATTCATCTGGTGACTTTACAGCAATCGATAATGAGTTCTTCAAAGTTTGACGTTCAATTTGACATTTCTGGATCATGATATCGCGATACAATTGTTTTATTTGTAATCTGATGTGTTTTTCGACGTAAATGAATTTAGAGTTTATGTAAGTGAATATATCGAGTTTTGACATTGAAATTTTTGTGTGTGTAGCGAAAGAGTTTCCTTTATAAGTTTCAAAGATTACAATTTTTGGATGTTCTGTTCTAATGATATTGTATCCGCATAACAAATATTCTCCTTTGGTAGCAAAAGCAAATGTAGATTCGACAGCATTTAAAGAATAGATTGTTTGATCAAAAGCTGTTTCATTGTCGGTAAATTCATTAGCAAATCCTTCATGCAGAATCTGTCGAATTTACATTTGTCAATTGGAACTGGATCCCAAAAAGAGTTTACGCCTACTGGGTCTACACAACTAGCTTCATTTAAACGGCAAGTTGCACCTGAATGTAATTTGACTAAATTATCATCGAGATTTACGGTTCCAATTTATTCGGTTAAGGTTATCCTAGCTAAGCCTTGTACTAATACATCTTCCCAATCACCGTAAGGGTCAGAATATGATGCTGAGTCGCATTTTCTACTATCGGTTACTACGCCAGCAAAAGTTACAGAGTGTGTCGATGTTGTATTAATCTTTAGTCCCCTAATTTCATGGTCATCAGTTATTTTAAGGTACCCTGTTCTATGCAATTTACGGCATGCTTCCTCACTAATTTCCTGTACGAATTTATTTTCCGCATTTTGTACTGGAGATATGTGAGAAAACATCCCATAACTAAATATAGTCCTATGTATAACTACCTTACATTGTATGACTTTGACGTCATTGAAATTATCTATTTGTAGCAGTTGTACATATCTCTGCTCTATACTTACGTTGCTTACGGGAATATTACATTCCCCAACTTCCCTTAAAGATAGGGTAGTAATATTTAAATTACCAGACCCGCAATCGTACCCGATAAGTGCATAACTCGATGAAATCAAAAGAGCGAGAATTATTGAAATCATTCTGAAACAAAAACTTGTTGTGGTTTTATTTTCATGTAAGCAAAATTAATTTCGTTTAATCACTCTCGTTTCTCTGTGTCCTTTTGTTAGTTTTATTTTCGGAATTAATATGGGAAATACGGAGTCTATTCGCGTGGACTACTTTATGGTTTTTTCCCATTTGGATTTTGATATTATTCTTGTTTAACCATTAACGCCCACCAGGACGCAAAATGTACCATAATTTCACGACTCTTATTTTGTATGAAATAATTAGTTAAAATTTTTAGGAAATACCATTTCCGACGTAAAATTTATCGCTCTTTCTGAATAAGAAGCTAAAATTTGTTTATAATTATCTCAAAAACATTTACAACAATTTTATTGCAAAAAAACACACTTTTTTATGAAAAAAAATATTTTTCAATTATTATTTTGACATGGAAAACTAAAGAATATGTTCTCCAAAGCACAAAATATCGCGTCCTCGAACTCTCAGCTATAAAAATC